ACCCTGAGCACAGGCCTGGTGCAATACGGCGTACCCTGAGCACAGGCCTGGTGCAATACGGCGTACCCTGAGCACAGGCCTGGTGCAATACGGCGGACCCTGAGCACAGGCCTGGTGCAATACTGCGTACCCTGAGCACATACCAATACCATGCAAACATTAATTTTTCCCATTGCACATGCAGTGTAAAGGTAATACAAGCCTTCCATAATTTAGTACATTATCGATATCTTTCAATTCTAAAATGAGGTCTGTAGTAGTTCAGGTGGGTAGCTGTGCCAGCATGCGTAGCTGAGAAGGCTTCACACCTGAAGAAGGCTCCACGGACGAAACGTTGTGTTTTCTTTCTTTTTTTTTCAGCATGGAATAAACATATTATTTGTTCCTAAAATGAGGTCTTATTACCACTTTATGTGGCTTTAATTGAGATGTCAGTTATCCGAACTCCAACCCTGAAAAACATGCTAAAGATGGTTCATGCCCTGTGTTGCCGGTACCTTCTCTAGCCCTGTGCTGCCGGTACCTTCTCTAGCCCTGTGCCTTCAGTACCTTGTGCACGAGTGCCCTACCTTCTGCATGCCCTGCAGTGCCTGTTGCAGGAAGCTCAGCTGCTGCTGGCGGGTGGCATCTTCCTCGCTGCGCTGCGGCAGCGCCTTCCCCTGCTCCTGCTTCAGCAGCTCCACCTCGTTCCGGTAGGCGTCCAGCTGGCAGCGCAGGCTGTCGTTCTCCTCCTTCAGAGCCTCTGCCTGAGCCGCTGGCCCTGCGGGCGAGAGCAGGCCACCCAGGGGAGGGAGTGGCAGTGAGGCAGGGCAGGAGGCAGGTGTGGCAGAAACGAACAACAACACAGGCAGTGTTTCTCGACTGAAGCCACCTTGGGACATTAATGAACGCGATCTTCCAGAGCACTGTAGATCATTTCCTGTACCAAGGTATTTTATTTTAATGAGGAAACATTATGCAAAAGCCATTTGTTAAAATTTCTATACAAATCTAACTTAGTATGTATTTGGATTGTAAACTATTATTTTCAATCAAATTTATGCAAAGTGTTCCCTTTCTGGTATTCACAGCCACTTGCTATAGCTACAGCTGATCAGGGTTCAGTGTGTCAGAGTAGCACATTAGAGAAGAGCTCCATTTGTATTCATACACAACTAAGGGATGAGATGCTAAGAGGCACTGCTAATGCTTCCAGGAGCTACTTCTATTGAAAATGCATTAACAATCATTATCTGTGCTATGGTTCACAAAAAACACTTGACTGTAAATGCTTTAAGCACTGTATGGTTGGCTTATGCAAGGGCTTGATATTCATGGCTCTCATTCTCCCCATCTTAAAGTGCAGAATAGGTAAGCAAATATGTGAGACAGGAGCCGAGTGAGTCAAGCAGGAGAATATTTCTTAGATATAAACCTGCATACCAGGTGTACAGAGATACAGCAGTGTCAAGGAGAATTTGTAAATGCAGCTCTGTATTCGGAACAGGGGAAAGGTTATTAATGGGCAGAGGCCATTCAGGCTATTTTGCTTGTCTGGTTCATGTTAACGTCCCTGATTCCAGAGCCTCATGAAGCCATTTGTTGAAGTATTTTGGTGATTTGGCCTCAACCGCAGGGCAGTTTGGTACAAGGTCTTAGCAATTCAGAGACGCTCATGGATTGGAGCTGTACTGTATATAACATGTTCTTCAGCTAGCCTCTGCACTTCATATCAAGGCGTGCAAATTTGTGTTTCTAATGTGCAGTGATCAGGGAGGAAAATGCAGGAACTCTCATATTGGAATTAACAATCAAGCTATACCTGCTGGCCTACAGCAAGCTAAAGAATATTGGTTGTAGAACACAAACACTGCAACAGATCTGATTTGCACAGCAAGTCTCAAAAATCCACCTGGTGCAAAATACGTATTGGAACTAGAGTTGTTGGCAATAAATCAAATAAAACAGCACAGATACAAAATTAAACATACAGCTATGAACAATAAACATCTAATGAATTTCATTTTCAATCCCTTCAGGTTATTGGTAGTCTTTGTGTCATTATTGTGATAATTAAATAACTGGGGTGGCACACAAAATCAAAACTCAGTAAAATAATGATTACATTTGCATATATTTGCATATTAACAAGCAACATGTCATATTAGAAAATCCAGAAGATCATTAATGCTGAGTTCAAAACAAAACAGAATGCTTCATGGAACAACATGCATCCTCAGAACCTGCCTGTGGTGCTTCTAGCTTGGGTGACTCTTCCTGAGATAAGGTGATGTGAAGCAATTCAGTGCTTGTGCTGTAGTTCTTGCAGATAAGGCTGCAGGCATTGCAACAAGACCATTGCTTTAAGGTTCGTCTTTCTTTTATTATGGTTCATTTGTTACAGCGTATATCCTGAGTCAAGCCCTTGCAACACAGCTTGCAATTCTGCTTCCAAAGAGCAGCTGCAGACTGATACCTACTGACTTCTCTTCACAGACCATGCTGCTGCAGGGCAGGGCCAGCACAGCAGAGAGCCCCACGTGTGCGTCACCCCAACCCTCCGTGCCCGAGGGTCACACAGAAGAGCTCCTGCACTTCGGGAAGCTCTCCACTGAGAGAAATGGAGCCCTCAAATTAATCTGAATTTAAACCTTCAGGGAGGCAAGCCATTTGGTAAGCTCCATTAAACCCAGTGCAGATGGCTCTATTTGACAAAGGAGTGCTCTGTTGTGTAGAACAAGAGGAGGAATAGCTGCTAGATTATGTGTTGGGGAGTCATTGCTGTGCGGACAGAGTAAACAGGAAGAAGGCAGTCCAGACTGATTCTTCCCCTTGTGAAATACTAGAACAAGATGCAATTAGGCTGTCTCTGTATGTGCTTTTCACTGAGTGATACGGCCACTTAAAGGACAGAATCTGTCAGCTGTTGCTGCCTCTGATTCTTGTACCATATGGCATAATATAACATCACAGTATTTAGGGATACCTAAATCAGCATCATTCTAACAGCTTTAAAAAAGATCTTTTTAAGAACCCATAAAAATACATCACAGTCCTCCTTTTTCTTCTCTCCCAGTCTTTTAAGTATCTCCCAGGTCCAGTCAACTGCCTTCAAGGGCACTAACTGTACTACTGCTCTACTCCCCATTCTGACTTCTTCATTGACACAGGGGCTTCTAGGCCCAGCTCAGTCAGTGTCATGGCTGCTCTGACACCTGCCCAGGACATCCTACAGAGACAGCGAGGTACCTGTCTCATCGGAGTCCTTGCTTTCTGGAACATCCTCCATGTCATCGTCCGACATCTCCATCTCCTCCTCTCTGCGGATTCCCATCAGCTCCTCGTTGTGGATGTTTCGTATTTCCTGCGGGAACATGAGTGTGGGAGGGGGCGACTGTTATTCCAAAATGCACAAACAAATCCATCGGGAACATGTTCAGCAACACCTTTACTTAACTGTTCTTCTGCAACCTGGAGGAAAACCAGTTTCCCGAACTTCACCACAACACCCCTCCTCCAAAAGTCAGTTCAATTTTCATTTAATCAAAAATTCTTTAAACTGAGAAATCGTGCTGTGAAGTTTTGAAAATTAAATTTATGAAATTAAATTTTAATTGATATATGTATGTGCAGGTTATAATATTACAGAAATTATATAGTACATGAACAACACATTCAGAAATATGAGCTGGAAGACCATTGCAGAACAGATGCCGTCTCTTAGAAGAGCCTCATTTCAATCTTTCAGCAAGCTATGACTGTGTGCCATCGGATCATTATCCTAATATTGTTGGAGGCCTATTATCATTCTCCATGCTCGCCCTGCCTGCTCTTTGTGTGGTTCAGTGCTGTTCATATGACCATGCGCTAGCTTGCCATGCTGGGCCCCTCTAGTTGGGCAGAGCAGCCCAGGAGGCAGAACAGATGTCCACATCGCCGCACGGAAGAGAAAAGTGCACTCAGCCGCTCAGCAGCCAATGGACTGAAGTGAACACAAACACGATATGCTGCAGTACGGCAGCGTGGCCCCATGATGTTACCAAACACCATTAGGAAAAGACTCCTTAAGCAAACAAACAAAAAGGCTGTAAACAAACACTGCCATCTGTCGTGAGTTTCATACGGTTTTACATTGAACTACGAAGGTCAGTCAGATGGCACCAAAATGAGTCAATATATACGACTGGGATAATGAAACAATGAACATTTAAGGACATAATGAACGCGTGTCATTTACAAGATATCTCTCGGCAATGAAGCCTTTGGAAATGTAGAGAATTCCTACCAGACCTTCAAACTTTAAAGTTCTGTGAAAGCAGAGCTCAAGTTGTTCACAGACCCTGCGTGCAGGTCCTCCTGCACAGACTTGGAGAAAGACAGACCAGGAGGAAAAACACACGTCTCCACATAGGCTCCCTTGAAAACTTCCTGCTTCAAACTCATTTTGTCTGCTTTAAAAAAGGCTTGTCATTACAGCATGGGAAGACTGGTGTTGGCAGCTAGACTGGAAATAAATGCATGACCTACTCATGTGAAGACAGAAATCGTTGATCTGCTGATGTAATTATTGGCACTCTGTATTGTAAGTGAGTTAATTTGTCACCAGAAAATATTAATTTCCACTTCCTGGAATGAATGAGCATTTGAGAAACTTAAGAGTAGATATTGCTGAAGTATGTGCAATTTATTGAAGAAAAAGTACTGATCAGATTCTTGTTTCAGATAGTGTGCTAATGCCCAAGCTCAACAAAATATACTCCTGACAGAACCAGAACAATGAATTGCATATTGTGAAAAACTGGTCAAATAAATCAAAGGTCGGTTCTTGACCTTACCAGGAGGGATTTATCTTTGCCTTTTCAGAGATATTTTAACATTAGAAGATGCAAGACACACCGATCCTGGACAATGTCTGAACCTCACAGACAGGTCTTTAGGAAGTAGGACATCCTTGAATGTCAAAACACTAGTCTGCACATACAAGAAAACCCCATGTCTAGTGAAAATCTGTTTCTTAATAATCCAGATGTTGACTGCAATTACAACTGGATTTTTCATTTAACAAATTGGTCTTTGGCACAAAGATTTGTTAAACATGTTCATTCTGTTTATTTGCAGTCCCTGCAAGTGGGCAACAGATCATGTTATTCAGTTACTAACACATTATAATAGTGATAATGTATACTAAATATTTGACTTGAACATCTGAATTTGTTGTGAATCAGATTTAGGAAGGTAAGCCAACAGCACTTAAAAACTATTACTTACCAAAGCCAAGATGGTACAAAGGGATGTCTAACTGACTTACCTAGAGGGTGAGCACCTGTCCTCTGTGGACATGCAAACAGAATGCCCCTTTATACCCACAGGGAAATGCTGATTGTGTCTGCAAAGGGTCTGACTGTGCGACCTTACCTTCCATTAACAGGAAATTAACAATACACCCAACTCAATCCCAAGGTTTCGAAGGAAAAAAAGCTATGCAACAGGAGCAGTTGATATACATGACAATAGAAATAATCCAACCCAGCAATATGGTTCTGTTTTTCACCTGCCCAGTGTGGTTCCTTACTGGGCAAACAAGACAGACAGAGGCCCACTTATAGGACTAAGGAAAAAACAGAGCTGACATCCACCTTTGGAAAAGCAGAATGCAGTCATAGTGGGCATTTTATACACAACCCAACAATTATAAAATATTCTATCAACTGCCAATCCCCAGGAACATTCATTTGTATTAATTTCTAGCATGATGGCATCAGATAAAAAATATAATGAGCTTGATCAAAGAAACTCCTGCTGCTACAGGTATGAAGTCATTTATAGCTCTCGTTTCTTGCAGAATGAAAAGGACAGTGTCAATGACATGTTTTGAAGAGACAACAACTCTTTGTTAGGCCGATATACGTATTTTCTGTATAACTGGAGAAGAATTAAAACTGAATTAGGTCTTCTGTACAAAGAGAGTGGGAGAAAATAAAATTGAAACAGAACAGTGAGAATGCAACCAGGAAAAAAACTAAAAGTAAAAAAAGAAAATCTATACAAGGCAGAGGAAGAAGGCAGCTGAAATATCATTTTGAAAATTGCAAATCTGAAATGCAAGTCACTTCTTCTGCCAACCATTACAGGCAGAAGATGCAGGTCACACATTCTCCCTCTTTTTCTCAGGTTTCTCACATCCAAGCATGTTACTTTTCCTCTGCAGATGCAGAAAATTGCTTTTTTAAGTTTGTCCTACATGAAGCCACTGCGTCTGCTGCTGCAATGGGCTTCCTGACCTGAGAAGGTGTGAGCCCTGGTGACTGTCTTAATCAAGAGGGCTGAAGGCTCTCTCATGGCTAATCACCCCCGCAGCGAGGGATTTTAATTTGCACTGGTGTGAGGCAGGCAGAGAGAGGAGAGCCAGGGTCCTGGGGCCACAGACAAGAGAACGGAGGTGCAGCTACATTCTGCAGTAGCCACGGGCAATCTCGATACAACTGCCACATACAAAATAAAAATAAACAAACAGATTCACAATCATTTCGAACATAAAAAACTTCTTCCAATGATTTTGTTTTTTCTACACAAGCAAACAAGCCCTAAAATCAACACTTGCCACGATAGAGAGAAGCCGTAAGAAGAGAAGAGAAGAGTAAGTCAGTGAGAAGAAGCTATTGAAAGCCTTTAACACTGTATCTTACACCAGCATTTCCACAACTGCTTTGGACACCACTCCCTGGAAAAGAACACAGTTTGGGCTGATGGATGAAATAGAGAAGGACAGGCAGATAGACAGACAGGGACAGACACAGGACGCAAACAGAGAAGGACACTTGAGACACAGCTGGGCTGAGACAGAGACGGGGGAGACAGCTGGCACAGGAAGGACCAGCAGAGAGGCTGGAGGAAAGGCTGGCTGACTGCTGGACCAAGGGTCAGCAATTAAGACATAACCCACAATTCCTACCCTATCACATCACCTTCCTGTGGAGATCTCCTCTCTCTTACACACTCCTATGCCTTTCACCAGCAAGGAACACTGAGAACAGCTGACATTAAATAATGAGACTATTATGATGTAGTAATGAGCCCCATTTAAACCACAGCTTTAGCAAAAAAGAAATCTGTCCAGTCTCTTAAAACCATGAAAAAATTAAATATTTGCTTTACTTGCAAAAAGCCCCTTTAGATTAATGGCTTAAAAGGATGTAGAAAAACGACAAGAGAGAAGGGGAGAGAAGGAAAATAAGAGACTACTTAGGTATCAGAGGGAAATTGTGTTAATAGTTTTTAAAGACTAACCTACATTAATTTAAAAATTCATGTTTTCCTCTTTTCTAAATATCTGCAAAATAATTCAGTGCAATCTGGGAAGTGGTTATTTTGAATTTGATTCACACTGCCTGTACCCAATAACTCTGCCGTCTTAAGCAATAATTACATTAGCATCAGAGCAAGTTCTTCAGCAAATTATGGAAATTAGTCAAATGGAAATACAGAAAAATGTGCAAAGATGCAATTCAGGGTGCATAATTATAAATAAAGGTTAAGAAAGAAAAAAATAAAATATTCACATTAATTAAAAGCCTGTTGGAAGCCCTTAAATACAGTAGGAGCACCTCAAAGACAAATTGATCATTCTGTGGTAGAAACCACAGACATAATTTAAAACCTTACGTAAGAATACAGTTTAAATAATGGACATGGCCATGTGCAATTCAGACACTCCGTCCACAGAGTTAGCTTTGCAAACAATATAGAGGTGTATGAATGCACAGACTCTTCTTTTAGAACATAATTTACTTCTAAATTCAAACTATTCGCAGCTGAAGCGACACTGGGACTCACAAAGACACAAGCATGAAACGGAAGATAACACATTCAATGTAACCTCAATCATAAATTAACAATATCACAGGAATACTGGATAAATGGGAAAATGTGCTCAAGATGTTTTTTAAAAGGTAAGAATAACAGCAGTTATTCATTGCTTCGAAGAGAGATCTGTGGCAACAAATAGATGTTGGTGTGATCTGACTTTGCAGGCACAATGGATAACAATCCAAAAACAAGACGAATGAGAGAGAACATCACACAGTAGGAAGCCACTGTTACAGCTGCCCTCCGGTGACAGAGGCAGCAGAGAGAACGCACCCATGATCCAGAAAAAACTCACTGCTCTTCTGTTGGCAAATTATTGTTGCAGAGCTCCTCGCTTAGAAAAAAAAAATCCTGGCAGAGCTTTGACCCATAAGAGTTTATCCTTCACTGCTGAAGAAATTAGGCTGTTAATTACAGTGGAAGAACTGTTTGCTCATTTAAGCACCAGAAGGGTGTGCTATTGATTAAAGTGAGGGAACGTACAGAAAGTTTCATCAAATATCAACCCTTCCCCTAGGGAAAAAATAGCTTTTCAAGCATAAAAAAACAACTATGTGAGCCACTTTTTAAAAACAGACATGACAGGCTTTAATGCTTTAAAAAAAGCAAGGAAGCTATAAGGGCTTGCTTCGCCATTGAGCATAAACATTGAGAGGTACAGCTGTCTTGTGATGGAGACCTTCTGGGGCAGTCGGGGTGTGGGGAGGGTGACAGTCTGGGGGTGTGGGGAGGGTGACAGTCTGGGGGTGTGGGGAGGGTGACAATGGGGGTGTGGGGAGGGTGACAGTGGCAGTCGGGGTGTTGGGAGGGTGACAGTCTGGGGGTGTGGGCAGGGTGACAGTCTGGGGGTGTGGAGAGGGTCACTCTCTGGGGGTGTGGGGAGGGTGACTCTCTCAGTGGGAGTAACTAAATGGTGACAGTGGGGGTGTGGGCAGGGTGATAGTCTGGGAGTGTGGGGAGGGTGACAGTCGGGGTGTGGGCAGGGTGACAGTCTGGGGGTGTGGGCAGGGTGAAAGTCTGGGGCAGTGGAGCTCTGCATTCATATGCAACAGTAAAAGCAGAATTCCCTAAATGCTAGTAACTAAATATCATTGTGTGCTTTACCTTTTCTATGAACATGGAATCAAAGCCCTTAGGAGTCCATTTCAAACCAGCATTCAGCCAGCTGTGCTACCTTCTGCACAGCAGCTGGCCTCCCCATAAAGCATAGGCAAGCCTAGATGATAAGGAAAAGCTCACCGAGTTTCACATAATGGAGTGTTGTAGAGCGCTGGGCACTTAGCTGCCTTAATTCCTTGCTTAACTCTAAATTAATTCTCTGTTAAAAAACTGGCAAACTCTAGAGAAAAACAGAGGGTGGGGTGGAAGATGTGGAAATGGAGAAAGGAAGAAGAAATGAGAGAGGGAGCTACTGACAGAAGAAACAAACACATACAGAAGTATAAACAGAAAAAATGACCAACCTCTGCTTGCTTGCGCCACACGTCCAGGTTCTTGCGCTGGGCTTTCGAGAAATGGTCCCATGCCTTTTGTTTGGAAGCAGCGTGGAATACAGACACAATCTGCTCAACTGTGGTGGTGTGCAGGGCCGGTCAGATAGCGAACCCAGATTGTACCGTCCGGACAGAGGGCGGGTGGGAGGAGCAGAGGAGTAAAAAAGTGGAATCAGGCAGGTAGGCAGTCATGCTGTACTCTCCGTTACAGCACAGGGCTGTGTTTCGGGTCTGGGTCATGTCAGGCGGGAAGGTTGTGGGACCATGATAAAACGAGAGGCCCACGGTCCCACCGCGAGATGACTGCTGTCCTAAAACACCAGACGGTGCGGCACACTGCATGAAAAACAGACGGCTTATCCCGGTCAAGCTGTCAGAAGTCTTGGAATCCCATCATAAATGGTGGAGAGCATGCAATAAATCAACCAATCAAGAGCTTTGGAAGCCTGGAGCCAGTTCCCTGTGGAACCTAGCCCAGCAAGCAAGCAAGCAGCCCAGTAAGCCACTGGAGCTGCCTGTTTCCTGGGGATGTATCACCAGTTTCTGTCACACTGTTCGTCCCCAGGTTGCAGTCGAACAGTTCAAGCAATCTGACTGTGGTCATGCACACACAAAGGCGTTTCCTCCATTGGAAAATGAATTTCTCTTCAAAAATCATTTAACAATTTCCACCTTTACTGTGGTTGTTATTCTGGAAGGGGTGTAGGTCTTGTTTACGCTCTTAACAAAGGGAATTTGTCATCTGAGTTTGACTTACCTCATTGCCTCCTACAGTGCGAATTAGAAATGATGCAGCATTAATGACAAATCACTCCTAAAACAGCTCTAGTAGCTGATAGATTTTCCTTCACTTTCAACACGAGTCACTATTTTCTCATTAAATAATCCATTTGTGATATAATCCCCAAAGAAAAAAAAATCTGTGTAAAAATTTACATTCAATCTTTACGAGCTTTAAATGTATAAGTCAAACCAGAAGTTCTGACCACACTGTGACCACTGTAAGCCGTTAATTTCATGCAGTGATGACTTGAATCTTATAACACACCCCTGACAGTAACAGCACTCTCTCACCGTCAGAGCTATCATAGCAGATGTCAGCACAGTGCAGGCAAGCTGTTTACAAAGTCATTTCATTTTTAAGACGAGGCATGAATCACAGGAAAACATGTGGCCCTGTGCGAGTGTGTGCTTGTCTATATGCCTCTCGATTGAACATATTTCATTAAGGGTATAAAGGGAAAAATCGTGCAAAGTGTCCTCATCTTTCTTAGGTTTAATTTCCAACTCAGTTTACAGATGAAATAAGATGTGTACGTTTTATATTTGTTTCCAACTTACAAGCCACACATCCTGCTCAGACTTCACTTTGGACAACATTAATACAGTGAGTACAACAGGGGCTTAATGGTGATGCACTTACAGAGCTATGAGTCCGCACTCATAACTACTGCTTCTGTTCAGGGTTCATTTTTGTTTTCTGGCACTAAGTCAGTGAGCACTAATTAGAAATAAATACAGCAAGCACTAATTAGAAATAAATACAGCAAGCACTAATTAGAAATATGTACACACTAATAAAATAGAACAAGAAATGGACATCAAATAATTTCAGCGCCTTTGAGCTGTCATGCATGGCTTCATTCCAAAGTTTGCTCTGGAGCACAAATTTCCTGACAGCTGAGGCTTCCCTTTTCTTCCAAGGGTAAAGGGCGAGGAAATAATCAAATCCCGCCGGGACGTGCTGACTTGTGTCCAGCTGGTCAGAAACAGTTACAAAGTGAAGATGCCACCAGCGTTTCTGTGGAATCTGACATGCACATATGCACAGATGTTAAACAGCAATGCTGCTGGAAACAGTTTGCTTGGCTCTCGGTCATTCTGGTTTGCAATGCAACGCCTATATGCATTCCAGCCAACATAGTGATACTGTGCAGGACAGAAAGCTAGTTGCTGCTGCTCCCTGCCACAGCTGATGAAGACGAGGATGAAAATTTTGCAGAGCCTCCCTTACTGGACTGAAAAACTCTTGTGATGAAAAAGCAAAGTTACTAGCACGTGGGATGCCTTTTATTTGGAGAATAATTTGGAGTTGCTTGTTTGACAGAAAAATGCCGGTCCAGCACTCCCCTGAGAGCAGCTCCGAAAGAGCCAATCTGCCACCACTCCTCGGAGGAGCTCCGGGCCCACCACTGCCAGGGGAAGGAGCAGTCTCTCCGAAACCTTATTATAATCGCTCTTAATAAACCTCTGTGTCGATAAGGCATCCTCAGCTCTCACCGCGGCTGTGAGACGCTGGAGTGAAGGGATGTTATCAAGATCGATAACTACTTTAGCATCCTTTAATTTGACGGAAGCAATCGATAGGGAAGGCAGAGGAGAGTTCGGAGCTCCCCTCCCCCCCGCAGACTCGGAGAGCTGACAGCACCTGTCTGACAGCCAGCCCACGCTCCTGCTTCTGCACAGGCTGCTCCGGAAACCGGTGACATTTAGAAAGCTGGTATTTCTTAATCAGTCCCCATCTTACCTGCCTTTGCAGCACATTTCAGTCTTGACTGCGGCTGCAGCCTGCTGTTTTGGGAATGCTTTGCCTTTTTTTTATTTGTCCCAATTTTCACGCGGGAACCTTTTATTTAAGGGCTGTCAGTCTTATCGAAGTGGGGACAAAAAAATTGTAAAGAGGAGCAAAACCAAGTCAAAACAAGCGCTGCTGTCCTGGGGCCGTTCATTCCTATTATTGAGAATTAAAGATTGACTGGATCTTGAAAATGGATCTTGCCCCAATGTAAGGATTTGTTTTATTAATTTTTTTCTGCAAAGAAGATTAATCTAATGATAATGCAACAAATTTCTTTTAATATAATTCTCTCACTATTCAACTTAATATGTAATTTGTGAAAACATCTCCTCCCAAGTAAAGGTTACTACAGTACTTCTTTTAAGATCTGCACCTGGGAGTTAGTGCCACTCAAAGTGAGGATAAGGTCCTGATCTGAATACAGGCACTGCTGGCTTACTGCAGGTAGGCCACACTCCTGATGAGTGAACGGTCGGTGCAGAGGAGACTGTTGCCTCCCCAGACAGTCCATAGGTGCCTGGAGTGTAATTCTACACACTCACTGTTCACTCCCTCAGAGAGTACTTTTGCTAACATGATTCATCGTTTTCATTTTGCCTTTTTTATCCACAGCAGCAAAGGAAATCAATTTTGAACATGTACTGTTGCGCCAGGTCTTCTTTACTTTTTAATCTGAGATGTTATGTAAAACAAACCAAGTAATAACTCATAGGTTTGCTTCTTGCTTCCTGGTGTAACAGCACATTAAATTGAAAAGCACCCAGCTTCACATGTGTCTACAAAGTGTGGCTAAATGTGCAGTATCAGTCCAATACATTAAGCCAGATAAATCAGAATATATATCATGGAAAACATTTTTTTAAATATGTATGAGATCTTGTTTGTATATGTGTCACATTTATAAACCCCTGCTAGAATTAAACTCCAGCGTGACATCAAAACTAGAACTAGAGTGAAAAACCAAGCCCATGAAAGGAAATGACTGTTGACCTGGTTGATTTGGATCATTCCACCATGGTGCTCTTACTGCCCTACCCACTCCGACTGGGCTGTGCTGACACTGCCTGGGCCTGCAGGATGCCCTTCTAACCCCCTCTACTGGTCCTTAAGAATTGAACTGAGCCCTATAATAGTCAATGAATTAATTAACTAGGGAGTACTAAAAGTCTGTAATATATTCAACTGAAGGGCTCCATATTGCATAGCAATATTCTAATGTACGTTTTGTCATGGGTGTGCTACAAAAGTCAATTGTCTCTGCACATTTTTGATTCTTTATTATTCATGTTGTTTTGTTACTTACTTCAACTCTATTGCAGACTTATCTTCTCCAGGTTAGTTGCCCAGGATTATTATAAACAAGTAGAACAAACAACAGTGCTGCATTTTAATTGAGCACTGCATTTAATCTACAGCTTAAAACTGCAAACCAATATTTCTTCATGCTGTTTGTTATGTTTTATAAAAGCATTCTTTGGCTTCTGTCTCGTACCTCTGCACTTTTAGACATCACATCTGGTTTCCAGACCAGGCATTTATTAGAAACTCATACTCTACCTGTACGTCTTTCACTTCACTTCCTCCCCAGTCTGACCTCCAAGACCTCCAACAGACTTACCTTTTCCAGTAACCCCCCCACCTCCCATCCCTTTAAGCATAAGAAATTCACAGCAGATGCATTATGCAAGCGGTGAACTCTTTTTGAAAGAGAGAGAACCTAAGAACTGAAGGAGGAATGGATTGATGCAGATTTCAGCTGACTCTATGAGTGCTTCTCAATGTTCGCAAGCACAGAAGAGCTATTCTTTTCTAGATTCTTGGACACCCATTCTTGTACGATAAGATTAGATAAGAGGCACAGATCCTTAGCCACAGAGCCACTGCTCTGCCCCAGTTGGTTTAGTTGGTTTTTAACAACAAGAGGGGAAGGGTAAATCCAAAATGACTTAGCAATGACTTGGCAATGGTATCTCTGTGACTTGGAGACTGTGCTCTCCGAGTGCAGGCTGATATGTGGGTTTAGTCGCCGTGACTGTGAGAGGTGCTGTCACTACACAGCCCTTCGTGCTTGCTGAAGTGAGAAGCAGATGCCAAATTTCTTCTTTCCTCCTTTTTTTGACCTCCTTAGCAGCCAGGAGTTTTAAACCACAGCCATGCAGACATGGTACAGTCTGGGCTAGGAAGGGTCAAGGGCCTACAATGGTGTGACCTTAGAACTGAGGGTATTAAATCTTGTAGTGGGGTCACTGAGTTCACCACTTGTGAGGTTCACAGAGAAAACACTGGAATGAAGGTTTTGGAATACAATGGTAAATTTCTTCTTAAAGATGGGGCTGACTCATAAAGTGGAGACACGGTGGCTGCCAATTTGTCCTACTGAGCCATCTCCCAGTACTGTGAGCTGATGGTTCTTCTTCTTGCTGCTTAACTGCACTGTGGCAGAAACCACAGCTCACACCTATGTAATAATACTGAAGCGCACTGAGGCCTTTCTGACCTCAATGTTAACAGGCAGTCTTCGGAGAGATGCTGAGTAATGCTTAATGCTCTGCCTTTTCTTTGCATTTTCCCAAGTCATCAGTGTGTGGGAAGAGCTATTTTGCCAAGCACAGGCCACTATCAGTCAATCTCCATTAAGATGTTCTTCTGCAAAGAGCTATGAACCTGTAACCAAAGGAGCTTCAGCTCTGTCATTTCACGAAGAGCACCTGCATGCCATCTATGAAGTAGAATGTGTCTGTGGAGCCCTGACACAATCAGGACGCAGGTCGCACAGTACTCACATTGAACCAGGATCCCAGCCAGGGCGTTCTTGAACTTCTCCTTTGCCTCCTCCATCTCCTTCTCGTGTGCCGCCTTCTCATTCATGAGCCTCCGGATGTGGCTGTTGGAGGACTGGATCATGGAGTAGAAGTTGTTGGCGTTTCTCCGGTTCACTTCACCTCGTTCCACCCAGGTCAGCAGAATGCGGATCGCCTCTGGGAACTTGGAGTCATCTGGAAGGGAAGGAGCCAACAGCAGAGAGGGAGATGGTGAGAAAATGAATAAGAAGAGACATAAAGAGAAATTTCTTTAAAAGAGAATTCCAGGTGGAAACACAATGGATTTAATGGCTCTGGTTTAGCACAAAGGCACAGGTGAGATCAAGGGTGCAACTGAAATCTTTAAGACAACCGGTGAGTCACACTGATGAGAAAGGAAACTGCCAGCTCCTCCTACCACCATCAACTTTGTTACTGTCTTCAGCACAGAAACCTAAAGAAAACTGGCAAATGCAAGGAGCTTGTACTGGGACTCCATATTCCTAAGTCTGCAATGACAAAAGCAGGTTCCAGGCTGCTTTCAATACGTACAACAAAGAGCACTTGCTTCTCATCTGTATTGGGCAACTGGTATAAAAGGATAAAGAATCAGGATAGGGAATGCAGCTGTGATCCATGAGAGTGGGATTCTGTCTTTGTGTTTTCGAGCTTTGTTGAAAGAGCGGGGCTCTGTGATCCAAAGCTTCTGTGAAAGCTGAGCACTTTAGGCTTTGTCCTGGATGTGGATGGGTTTTTGACATGTTGCCTTTGTGCAGCAGCGAAATCTGTTTCTAATCCCATCACCAGCCTCCCACCCTACATTTCCCTTAGTCTTAAACTTCCCCACACAATAACCACATTGTCTGTTTTTTGTAATTTAGCTGGATGCTTGGGCTGTATCTGGTTATTGCCATAAACAGATAAGGCAGAGAGAGGGAAAATGCCATATTGATTTCCATTGTTACTAACGCACTTAGACATCTGCCCTACAGCCATACTCTTCTGTGCCATTCTCCAGATGTGCGGTCACACACACTGCGCTTTAAAGCCCTGCAAACAATACTCAAAGCAAGCCTTGTAGTAATTTGACAGCTTTTTATAAAACGTAGCAAATTCATTGGAAACAAAAAGAAAAAAAACTACTGAGAAAAAAATCAAGGCATCTCGCTCTACTGTCTTGTGAAGTACTGCGCTGAAGGATTGAGTGTGAGAACTGATTTATTTACAATCTGCACAAGCTGTAGAAACCCAGGGGCCTGTCAAATTATTCACATCAATAATCTATCGCCATCTAAATACTGAATCAATGCATCACAACGGTAAATCCACAGGGAGAGTCCATCAGTTTATCCATTGTGAGATTTAGTTGTCTGTGTTGTCAAAACATCAAAAGGGCAAATCCACTGTTTACTTGCTGCCACTGGTAGCAAAAAAAGAGAAGAAAATCGTAACTCCTAAGCACTGTTCATGCAAACGTTCTAAAGAAAATAGAAATGCTCAGAATTCTAAAAGTCTTCAAAATGCAAAATGACATGGTTTGGCCCAGTAAAAACATCCTCTGATCTAAGCATGTGTGAGTTATATGGGCTCATAAGAGAAACGCGGTGCCAAAAAATCAATGAAGCAGCAGCGAGACTTAACCCTGATAGTCAGAGAGGAATTTTTGATAAGATGGTTCAGCCTAAGCCTGTTCATATCTGGCTGAGGACTCTTGGGAGGGCACTGCAGATGACTAGAAAAAGATGCAAAAAACAGCAACCTAAACCACACCTCTAATCTCACTGCAAATCTCCATGCAAAGAGCTTATCCTCATACAGCACAAGCTATACAGTACAGTGAGGCAAAGGCACACAGATAACACTTCAAAAGGTAGATGAGTTGCAATTTATTCGTCTTACTCCATTCCAGCTGCCAAGCTGATTTTCCTATTTTGCCTTCCCAGGCAAATGAAAACAGAGAGCCTCCTGTTAACTTACAGGATGATTAAAGTGTCACTTTGAACAGCAACTGCTGGCCTGTTAGAGTACTAAAAATGCTGCCTGTATGTTATAAAGAACAATAGACAATTTCACGTACACTTGCTCGAGCAAACAATAATGTGAAACTGCCTGGAAAAGTCTGCAACATTAATTTTTAAAGCTGCTTTGAGTGCTGGTTTCTAAAGGCAGGTTTGTCTAAATTAGCCAAAAGCAGTGGGTAGGAGCTATGGGCTCACACATCACACAGGAGGAGCTTAAGCCTGTTAGTTTCCAGACCAGCCTGGCTGCTCCAAGCCTTTCAGAGCTGCTCCTAAACAGAGGAAAGCACATCTTGACACAGATGTACAGCAGGCAGAAACAGAATGGCGCAGACAAGCTGTAAAGAATAAATAGCAGTCGTTAGTGTTCCTACTTAAAATTTTCTGTGGAAAAAATACCCGAAAGGAGTAAGTTTTACATCTTCATAATGAAATATCCTATCAGTTAAAGTCAAGTGACAGCACAAACAACAGGAATAAAAAACAGCCACTTCAACAGTCTTGTCCTGTGAAAAATACTTATAATTTGTAAATTACAGCTGCATTATTGTGGGAAAAGAACACACAAGGGAAATAAATGTGAAGACAAAAATGATACAGGGCACAGTGAAACACAATACAACTCAGAGGCACACAAGGGACACACTGTAGATGAATGAAGAGGGGAGTGAACTCAATAAGAGCAGGAAATGCACAGGGAGATCCAGGTCGACACAGATGGACCCTGGATGAGAGGGGCTGGCAGGGGACGGAGTTGTGGGTCAGAGCGACAGACCCTGCCCGACTCAGGCCGCTGAGGGAGGGGATTGTGGGTCAGAGCGACAGACCCTGCCCGACTC